AATAGAATAGAATAGAATAGAATAGAATAGAATAGAATAGAATAGAATGGAATGGAATAGAATTCTTTTATTGGCCAAGCGTGATTGGACATACAAGGAATTTGTCTTGGTGCATATGTTCTCAGCATACATAAAACAAAAGATACATTTGTCAAGAGTCAAGAATCATAAGGTACATCACTTAATGATAGTCATAGGGTACAATAAATCATACTAGGAAACAGTCAATACAGATCGTAAGGATACAAGCAACAAAGTTATAGTCATACAATCACAAGTGGGAAGGGATGGGTGATAAGGAGTGATGAAAAGATTAACAGTAATAGTAATGCAGACTTTGTAATAGTTGAACAGTGTTGAGGGAATTGTTTAGCAGAGTGATGGCTAAACAGTTTTTCGGGGAAAAACTGTCTTTGTGTCTAGTTGTTCTGGTGCGCAGTGCTCTATAGTGTCGTTTTGAGGGTAGGAGTTGAAACAGTTTATGTCCAGGATGTGAGGGGTCTGTAAATATCTTCACAGCCCTCTTTTTGACTCGTGCAGTACACAGGTCTTCAATCAATGAAATGGCTTGCCTTCAGAAGTTGTGGGTGACCCAATACTGGAGGCTTTCAAGAAGAGACTGGATGGTCCTTTGTCTGAAATGGTATAGAGGCACTTGAGGTACACAAATGACACGTAGCATTTCTAAGAGCTGTATGAAGAATCAAATTTCCCAGATGTAGATTGTTACTTTGACCATTATTTTGGAAAGTTATCCTGTAGATAGCAAGATCCAGATGTTGTCAGAGTTATAGGAATCAAAATTAATGGATACATTCTGAAGTCATTCCATATGTTCTCTGGGCCATAATAACAACATTATCTTCTTCCCTTCAGTATCTTGTGCATGGATATCTTTGTGGCTATTTGTTAAATATATTTGAGATTTCATACGATATGGTTGCTTGAATGGACAAATTTAAAATTGGCTGAATTCATATAATTCTATAAATTATCAATGTAGTTTATAGACTTCAGTCTAGTGTTTGGGTTCATACAATGCCAAGGGTTATGAAAAAAAAAACATGCCGCACAAGTCCAGCTTAAGTCTCTGTTGCAGGAAGCTCTGACCCATTACTACTGTAAAGATATATCCTGGTGTTTGGATTACCACAGATGTTTTGCTGCGACAAGCTAAAATTCTTTATTCAACTACAAGTCCAATTAGACTTTTATCCACCCCACCCTAATAATGGGTACAGGATCAGAAATAAGTTCCACTCCATTTAATAGCACATAGTCCCATAAAAACCTGCAGAAGTAGCATAGTGTAGTCTCTCATTTATTCAAAGCACCAGCTCTTATAAACAGAGTATTGTAAAACTTTATTTAATAATAGCATTGCTTGGGCAGATAAATGGTAATGTCTCTATTTGTAGAAAGATAGTTGCTTGTTTTCTATATAGATTATATATATATTTGTTTTCTGTAATCATATATATTGATTACCTCTTATTTTCTGTCCCTTTTTTTTAACTCTAAACTTCATCTCCTCTTCTCAGATTGGTTGTTTAAAGTTTTAGATCTTTTGGAGACATTCTCACTTAATTACTCACGTTTAGTACCATAGGACTAAAGAATGAGTATTCTGTTATATCACATATCCCACCTTTCCCTTCAGGTTTAACAGTTATCAATCTGGGTTACAGATTCTAAGCAAAAATATTTTTTCTGCCTTGAAATCAATACACTCTATTTATACTTTCTTTGGTTAAAGAACCAATAATTAAGAGTTCGTTTCTTTACAGGCAATGCAGTGCATTCTATAGTCCTAGCTGCTTTTTCTCCTTTTTTAAACTTTGAGGCAACTTTGCTGAAGATTTCAATTCAGACTTCATTTTCTTATCTTCCTGTCCTCTCCCGGTTTCCTCTTTTTCCCCCCTAAGAAGATTGAAATTATCTGTATGTCCATCAGTTGTTTTCCCAATTGGAACTGTGGAAATTTCAGCCCTTTCTGACAGCCAAAAGAACCTCCACAATTACAACTGCTTTTTGATATTTCTTCAGTTTTCACATTTTTTTGTGGCATTCAATCTTACAGTTCTGTAAGCAGAGAAGGTAAAAATATAAACGCGCCCCTAATGGCTGTAAAAAAAAAAAGATTGGAAGCCACTACTTCATAGTTTAATTTTTCCCCCTTATTCCTTTATTTATTTCTTACTTATGGCTTTCCCTTTCCTTTGTTAAAAATGTACAGTGTTTTTATGTTGTAAAAAGTGATTCAAGAATTAATTAGAAAATAATGCTACGATTGTTTTCCTGTCCTGCCAACCTTTTTCATTTCAACCACCTCTTCCTTTCCTTCCTTTCTCTACCTTCTTTTGAGAAACAGACCACTCTATTTCACTTACCGTACTTTTCGTAGGAAAGAAACTACTCGCTTTCCCCTCTTATGTCCTACACTGCCTACCTAGCGCCAAAGTTCCAGAGAGGGAGAGAAAGAAAGAAAGAAAGAAAGAAAGAAAGAAAGAAAGAAAGAAAGA